CCCCGCCCCCCCCCCCCCCAATCAAAGTTTAACACACCTGTGCGGCAGAGCTTTGATTGGAATAAAGGTTTCCTGCCTCTGCTGGCAGGTTCCAGCATCACATACAAAAAGGCAGACAATGCTCCTCATAACTTAAACAGAAAAAGTAATTTTTTGCCCTAGCTCGTTTGGCTCAGTGGTAGAGCGTTGGCCTGCAGACCAAAGGGTCCTGGGTTCGATTCCAGTCAGGGAACGTACCTTTGTTGCAGCTCCTCCCTGGCCCAGGCCTGATAGGGGCTCGTGCAGGAGGCAACCAGTTGAAGTTTCTCTATCTTTCCTTCTCTCTTCCACTCTCTAAAAGATCAATGGAAAATATCCTTGGATGAGGATTAACAACAACAGAAAGGAACAAGTAATTTTTTATGGCCTACAGAAGCAGATAGTTATTCATATCTCTGAAAACCTTCATGCTTTGACAGTAATGCTTTGAAAGCAAATACTGGTTTTTCCTTTTAATCGTTCATATTTCCAATTAAGAAACATAAACTGCACAGCAGAGGCACTTTGCAAGTAACTGTTATTTAATAATATGTAAGTCAGGCTGATGTCTGTTATTGTGAATGTGATGAGCCAGGGCCAAACTGAACCTTTGGAATGGGTATACTAGTACATATGTGTAATTGCAGAACGTGACTCACTGACCTACTTTCTTGGTTACCAAACCAGTCGGAGATTGGATTACCTGGGCTTTAGCGCCATCTAGTGGTCACAAATGGTTCAGGTTTCAGTTGCAGAAATAATATGGGGAATTCTAATTTTATCTTTTAACCCAAATGCATCCAACTTCTCACTTTCCAGGAGAATCAATCCAACACACACTTTTTATGCTGTTTTTATAGTTAAAATTATAGGCTGAGGGCTTTTGGAAATTATAGGCTGTGTGGGGCGACCAGGCTGGCGGGGGATGGGGGGAGGGGGGGAAGAAGGCGGGGGGGGGGGTGGGGGGGGGGAAAGAGGAGGAGGCAGTTGGGGATGACCAGGCCAGCAAAGGGGGCGCGGGGAGGGGCAATAGAAAAGTTGGAGATGTCCCTATTTCGAAAAGACTGAAGTGATCTTTGATGCTTCCTTTATATGATATATTCATTTTGTCATCCCTCCAACCCTCCAGTAATTTCTCAAAACATTAAGCCTGAGCAATAGGGATTCCAGACTCACAAAAGACCCCCTTTCCTCAGAGTGTGGCGGGGGAGCAGTAGAGGGTTGCTGGGCCAGAGAGCCTTGCCAAAGATCAGTGTAAGCTAAGTAAACAGGCAGCCAGCCTTTCTCTTCACCCCTTTCTTAGGCATGTGCTGTCTGAGCCCCTGGAACCAATATTTAATTACAGGCATAGAAATGGTGGCAGGAAGTCCCAACAATGCCAGAGCTGGCATCTCCTAAGGAAGGGCAGCAGAATATTCTTTCTAGCCCCTAATATGCTTCTTTGGCATGAGAATTATTTGGGTGATTATTTTTGAGAACTAGCAGACAGAAGTTGCTCTGAAAACACAGGAGAAGTCGCTATTCTTTAAGGGAAATGTTCATATATAAAGGAAATCTCTGTTTGTGAGGGTATTACCCTCTCTGTACCATGAAGAAATTACAGCTAAGAACTCAGAAGGGTAGAAGGAAAATTGTTTTTCTTTCCCTACACTACCTATTTAGCAAAAATGGAATTCAGAATCAAGATTAAGTTGGTTTACAGAAAATAGAGATAAAATATCCTTCCTTGCAGCTTCGTGGCCAGTGGGAGGGACCAGAGTTTGCTACCCCAAATATAACTTTTGGGAAATTGATTGTTTTTGAAAAACAAAAGAATCACTGAGGGAATACCGGGAGCTTCTGAGATTAGGTTTGAAAAAGCGCCACTGAAGAATTTAAACTCTTCAAGCTGGTTCAGCATTGTTGATAGAAAGAAGGAAGAGAAGGTAAATTTGAGTGTGCTCATCTTTCTTTCTCTGTAGCTCCCAGCAGTATACAAAGGAAGGGAGGGACATGGAAGGTGAGTTTTAAAGCCTCTGTCTTGGTCTTTGACTTTCTGAATAACATAATGACTCTGAAAAAGGGAGAAAAACAGCAGCCAACTTCCTGGGGGTCAGAAAAGCTTGTGTTTCTGCAAGCCTAGGTATGCCTCCAGAGGTAATGGTAGATGTTATGGCTTAAGCTGTCCAAAAAGATATGTTGAACTTCTAACTTTGAGTACTTGTGAATGAGATCTTACTTAAAAAAAAAACAGGGGCTTTGCAGATGGAATCAAGTTAAAACAAGTTAGACCAAATTAGGATGGCCCTAATCCGATATGACTAATGTCTTATGAAGATGGAAATTTGCATACAGCCATAGATAGAGAGGAGAATGCCATTTGAAGGCACAGATACAACATGTGAAGATGGAGACAAAGGTTGGAATCAAGGAGTGACTGGAGCTAGCAGAAGCTGGCAGAGGCAAAGAAGCATCGTTTCTTAGGAGCTTTGGAAGGAACGTGATTCTGCCAACACTTTGCAAACTTTTAGCCTCCAGGACTGAGAGAATAAATTTATGTTGTTTTAAGCCACCTGTTTTGCGGCCCTTTGTTACAGCAGCTCTAGGAAACGAATACCGTGGGGGAGACCTCTGAGGGAAGATGAACTGAGGGCATTTTCTGGGGGTGGACTCCCATCTCAGGAGCAGGGGCAGCAGACCTCTGGCCACGGAGGACTATGGAGGTGCTGGCAGATACTTGAATTAATGCTTGCCATCTGAAGAGATACCTGATGGTTTTCTGCCCTTGAAGACTTCAGCGCTCTTACAGTAAAGTGATTTAGTGATTGTGATTGAACATCGGAGTTCTCTAGAACAGACGTTTGGGCACTAAAACCTCGTGTGTACCAGATGAATTCAAAAGAGCTTGGGGAAAGTTGCCTGGTTTTTACAAGGGCTAGAGACTTAGGTACAGAGAACACCGGCTCCAAGAGCTTTAGGACCGGAGAGCGTGGGTTAGAACAGGGGGCAGATCAGGTTTTGTGGGGCCTTGAATCAATTTTCTAAAGCTGTTGTAACATGAACCCAAATTGGAGTGGCTCAAAGTGCTTTACATTTTCGGAGGCTAGACACCTGAAATCTAGGTGTAGGCAGGGCCATGCTCTTTTTGCCAGCAGAGAATTGGGCATCATTTAGGCAGACGGCTGCCCAGTAAGGAGAGTCTTATTTTGTCCTGTCAAGGGAGGAGTGACACTTCCCACTAAAAGGTCCCACGAACGGCCAGCAGGACAGACCAGGAGTGGGAGCTGACTTAGGCTCTTTGAGGGAGGTGGTACCCTCACAATGGAGAAATACTGAGGTCTAGGCATACGGGGTGCTGAGCTGCCCTGCAAGTTCCCATTGACTCTTTAAAATACACCCCCCAGGCTCTGCCGGTGTGGCTCGGTGGGTTGGAGCATCGTCCAGCACTCTGAAAGGCCTCGGGTTCGATTCCTAATAAGTCACCTAGGTTTTGGGTTCGATCCCAGGTCTGGGCGCCTATAGCAGACAACCAATCTCTCTTTCCCTTCCTCTCTCTAAAATCAAGACATGTCCTTGGGTGAGGATAAAAAACAAAACAACCCCAAACACATATATATATATTCCCTCAAACTTACACTCTTGCAGTTCAAAATGAACATTTGTGTTTAAAGCCAAGCTGCTACATTACAGGTAATTTGCCATCATCCAGCTTTATATTTAACTAGAGGCCGGTTGCAGGAAGATTCCTGCAAGAATAGGGCTTCCTCAGGCCTATTCCTGCAAGAACAGGGCTTCTTGCAGCTGTCTCTGCTGCCCCGCCTGCTTCTCACAGGTTCGCTCCTTTAGGCAGCGCTTGGCTTCCTTCTATGCTATCTTCAGTCTTCTCTTTGCACCTGGACATGCAAATTAGTCTCTGGATTGGTTGGGTTAATTTGCATGTTTGCTCCTGGGCCTGGCTTGTGGGTGTGTCAGAGGTAAGGTCAATATGCACGTTTATCTTTTATTAGATAGGATACTTTAACATAGCCTGTTACCTAAAGAGTCTTATTACAAAAAGCTCCCAATCATCTCTGCCGAACTGAAAGGGAAAGACCTTTTGTTTGGCGAGGACAGGGGAACACCGCCACGTAGCGGCGCTCCATTGGGCCATGCCGGCCTCGGCCGAAGGTACCGTTAGTTAGCACCTTTGACTGAGACCCGGTCCCGCTGAGGTTCCGGTTGTGCCCCGACACTCCGCTCTGTACAAACGAAAGTGCTAACGAATGTTTCTGGATCCATTTCAGATACCACATGGATCCGCAGAAGGACCTCCCCGAAGAGAAACTACTCATTTCTGGCCCCTGATCCCTCGCCTTTAAGAATTCCTCTAAAGCTTCTTCTCTGGATCCACATCAGCTCCCCGAATTCCGATCAAAGCCAGACCCAGGGCAAGCTGGGCCGAAAAAGGGCGATCGGGCTCTAGAGCCGCCATAGCGGTGAGATGCCCTTCCTTTAGTAAGAGATGCTCTTAGGAAAGCTGCGGACCAGCCTGCGCATGGAGACTGGCTTCCCCTCTTTCCATTTCTTTTGGTTTCAGTCTGCTACGTGGGTGGGAAACAAACCCGGAGTTCATTCGGCCAGCCCCGGACGAGGGGGAGACTGCGCGTGCGCAGCGCTGTTTACACACATGCGCGCGGGCTCGGGGCGGGGCGAGGCTCGGGAAAACCCGCCGAGCTGTCCCTTCTTGCCCTCTGACCTCGGGAAGGAGGGGGCGGGGCTTGGGGGCGGAAGGAGCAGTGCATTGTGGGCTCGCCTGGAGCAGGGGAGCCGAGATATAATGAAAGTGATGCGCAGCCCCTAACGCTACCCGGGCTGGGAGCGGCTGGAACCCGGACCTCGGCTGGGGTTCGGCGGCCGCGCACCTCCGTGCGGAGCGGCCCGCGAGGCGGCGGCGGCGGCGGCGGCGGCGGCGGGAGGCGCGGCGAGCGTTGGCGGAGCGGGGCGGCTCTGCGCGGCTGCGAGTCATGGCTCACAACAAGATCCCGCCGCGGTGGCTCCACTGTCCCCGGCGCGGCCAGCCGGTGGCAGGTAACCCGCCTCGGGGGTTCGAGTTCCCGCGCCGGCGGCTGCTCGGGTGGGCCCTCCGAGGGCGCAGCTCTGGGTGTTGGAGCGCCTGCCTGCCGGTGGCCTTGCGGGGTCGGGATGCGCTGGGTCGGATGAAGCTCCGTGGGGGACGGAGTGTTGGGGAACTTGGACCGCCGGACGGGGTGGGTCGGAGGGTGGGGGCACCGGGGACTCGGATCGGGCTAAGGATCGCGGGCGGGAGGGTAGACAGGAGGTCTGTGTGGCTGGGACCGGGGACCGGGGACCCCAGAGCACAGTGGACGGCACCTTGAAAGTTGGAGAGAAGTTTGCGAACCTTTGAGGGTCCTCAGGAGGGAAAGGGACAGTGCCGGTCTTGGGATGGAGAAGGGTAGGGGCAGTTTTCTGCGGTGTGTTGAGTCAACAGGAGACTGGAGCTTTAAAAAATTCTAAATCCCTTTAGAGTGTGTGTGTGTGTGTGTGTGTTTCATTTTTATTGAGTTGGACACACATCAAACTTTAAAGTGGACAGTTTGAAAAGTTTTTATTATACGCACACACACATCTGTGAAACAACCCAAGAAACCATCACCACGATCCAGATAGTGCACATTAGAGCTTGCGGACTGAAGGGTCCTGGGTTCAATTGCGGTGGAGGGATCCCCACAATTGGGCGTGCAGGAGGCAAGACGATCAATGCTTCTCATCATTGATGTTTCTCTTTCTCCCTCTCCCTTCCTCTCTGAAATCAAGAAAAATATATTGAAAAATAAAAGGTAGTCAACATAACTCATCACCTCTCAAAGTCTTTTTCCTGCCCTTTTTTGTTATTGTTGTTAGTCCTCACCCGAGGATATAGTTCCATTGATTTTTAGAGAGTGTAAGGGAGGGGAGGATACAGAGAGAGACTATTGATGACTGGAATAGAACCGGGACCCATCCACTAGGACCCATCCACTAAGCCAAGCAGGCAAGGGGTCGTGTCCCCCTCCCCCCCCCTTTAAAAAAATATTTTATTGATTTTTCACAGAAAGGGATAGAGAGCTAGAAACAGATCAGCTGCCTCCTGCACACTTCCCACTGGGGCTGTGCCCACAAGCAAGGTACATGCCCTTGACCAGAATCGAACCTGGGACCCTTAAGTCTGCAGGCTGATGCTCTATCCACTGAGTCAAATCAGTTAGGGCCCTCCTGCCCTTTTTTAATCTCTCCCTCTTCAAGCAACCAATGACCTGCTTTCTGCTATTATAATTTGCATTTTCTATATATTTTTTAAATACGTGGAATCATTTGGTATGTACTTTTTATTGGTGGAGTATCTGGCCTCTTTCACTCGGGATTATTATTTTGATATTTTTTCACGTACTTTTAAGTAGCTATAGTTCATCCCCATTTATTGCTGAGTAGTAGTCCATTGTTATGGATACACCTCAATTTGTTTATTTCATTCACTTGTTTCTGGTCATTTGGGTTGTTTCCAGTTTTTGGCTATTACAAATTCACTTGCTAAGGAACATTCATTTACAGTGCTTTGTATGAACATATTCTTTCATTTCGTTTATGTAAATTTAGAATAGAAATGGGTCATATGGTGGGTGTACATTTAAAAAAATATATTTTGTTGATATTTTACAGAGAGGAAGAGAGAGGGATAGAGAGTTAGAAATATCGATGAGAGATAATCACGGATCAGCTGCCTCTTGCACACCCCCTACTGGGGACGTGCCCGCAACCAAGGTACATGCCCTTGACCGTAATCGAACCTGGGACCTTTCAGTCCGCAGGCCGACGCACTATCCATTGAACCAAACCGGTTTCGGCTGGTGGGTATACATTTAACCTTTTAAAAAAACTGCCAAACTCTTCCCCAAAATCGGAACATTTTACATTTCCACCATCAATATGTATATGATTGTTCCATTTGCTCCACATCCTCTCCAACACTTGGTGTGATCAGGCTTTTAAATTTTACCCACTTTATTATCTTATTGTGGTTTGATGTTGAGCATCTTTTCATGTGCTGTTTCATGCATCTTCTTTTGTGAAGTGTCCAAATCTTTTGCTGATTTTAAAATTGCATTGTTTTATTGATGAGTTGTTAGAGTTCTTGTATTTTGTAAATACAAGTCCTTTATTGGATGTGTGTTTTTTTCTAGAAGGGTGTTTTGAAACAAAATATAAAGGATATTTTAGTGGCATCTGAGTACATATTTATACTATGTTTAGTTATATAAAATTGTTGGAAGAGGAGATTCTGTAAGTTATTTTTAAGTTAGAATTTATTTTTAAATATATTTTTCTTGATTTCAGAGAAGGGAGAGGGAGAGATGGAAAAATTGATGATGAGAGAGAATCATTGATCGATTGCCTCCTACACTCTCCACACTGGGGTTTGAGCCTGCAACCTGGGCATGTGCCCTGCTGGGGAATCAAACCGTGACCTCCTGGTTCATAGATCAGTGCTCAACCACTGGGCCACACCGGCTGGGCTAATTTAATTTTCTGATTCTTTTAATTTGTTAGCTTTTTTCACATTCCACATAAAATCTTTAGTCAATAAAGCCATAAAAACTATGGATATAAAAGTTTATTCATAACTTTAACTGAAAGATACTTGAACTAAATCTTAGGGTAAGGAAATGTTTTTCTTCAGTAAAAATGAAATAATTTTGTTTATGTTCTAATCACTCTTATATGCATTGTTGGTTGTAATGAAAACAAGTGTACTTGATACAAGTGTACATTGTATTTTCTTCAAATGAATTGATCACAACTCTACATTTTTTTTTCTTCTAGGTCTTACTCTCTAGCCATTGTGACTTTTTCCTTTACCATTTCTAACTTAACATTGAATCCTTTTTAGAGAGAGGAAGGGAGAGGGAGAAAGAGATAGAAACATCGATGAAAAACATCAATATCCATTGGGGTGTTTCTTACACGATCCCTGCTGGTGGTCAGCTGCAATGCAGGCATGTGCCCTGACCTGGAATGAACCGGTGACCTCTTGATGCATGGGTCGATGCTCAACCACTGAGCCACCCTGGCCTGGCTAATCTTTTTTTTTTCATTGGTTTTTCTCTGTGAAGTTATGGAGAAACTTCTGAACTTGGATGTTCGGTGTTTTTCTAGTCTGGAGATTATTTCCTGGATCCTTTCATTAGAGTTATCTGCTACACTTCAAGAAAAACAAAATCATAAAGATGTTCTTGTCAAAGTGAATCTTTTTGAATTAAAAAAATAGCTTAAAATCAGAATTTTAATATAGTCTGCAGGATGGCAGTGACAACTATCAGAACATTGACTTACTGTTAAATTAAAAATGGGACAAATGTAGCACTGCTGGGGGTTGAGAGCAGCAGGTGAGGTGCTGAGCTCTCCCAGAGACAGAATTGTGTGCTTTTTTTTTTTTTTTTTTTTTTTTTTTTTTTTTTTTAAATCCATCTGTTGGAAATGAAGGGTCAAGAATAAAAAGTTTTTCCTTTATAGCATTGGAATATTTTGGCTTGATTTTTAATTATTGTGGTTTAGCGAGTCTCTAAGCTCACCTATCTGATTGATTGTAGTCCCTGGACAGAACCCCAGGCCTCTAGACAACCAAACTAGATCTTTACTTACTAATAAATAGTGCTTCAGCTTTTAATGCTTATTAGAAAATAAAGTGAATGCAGCATAGAATTCTTTTTTTTTTTAAATATATTTTATTGAGGTTTTTTTTTTTTTTTTTTTATAGAAAGAGAGAGGGATAGAAAGCTAGAAACATCAATCAGCTGCCTCTTGCACAGCCCCTACTGGGGATGTGCCCACAGCCAAGGTACATGCTCTTGACCGGAATTGTACTTGGGACCTTCAAGTCCGCAGGCCAACGCTCTATTCACTGAGCCAAACCAGTTTTGGCAAGCATAGAATTCTTGATGTTTCTCTGAAGTTCCCTTTAAGTTTTGTCTGTGTTCTAGGAGTGTTCATGTTGCATGGTGTATTTTGGAAATGAAGGGTTAGCAGTGTTTTATAGTAGCAGAGCAAAAAACACTAGCTTTATTAGTGCAAGATTTAGTGAAAAAGAAGGAATCATTTCCATTCCTACTTCCTTTTTTCTTCCTAAGTGTTCTAACTATAAAAGTAACTTATGCTTGCTTTTTTCTAACTATAAAAGTAACTCATGCTTAATTTCTTTGATATTTTACATATGTAGGAAAATTTGTTGTACCTGCTTAAATTTTCTCATTGTAAACATTAGGATGCATTTTATTAGTACCAGAAGTTCATAATTTTCCTGGATCAGAAGGAAGATGGTGCTAATTATATATAATCTGTTCCACTGTGAAGTCTCCTTCTCTAATAAAACTTCCAGTGAGAGAGCTCCTGTAGATAGGGCCAAACTTTATTTCTGAAGAATTCTGTTTTCTCCTTCTGAATGATAGATTTCAATTGAATACTTTAAAGAAAACGTTTCTTATTTCTTAAAGGTCATTGAACATAAAATTATAATATGTAAAGAACTTATTAGGCAGTAACTGGGAATATAAATATGAGACAGTCTTGTGATAGTGATGGTAACTTTGAAGTTATTTTACATAGCAAATATTTTTAAAAATTTATTTATTTATTTATTTATTTATTTATTTTTTACAGAGAGGAAGGGAGAGGGATAGAGAGTTAGAAACATTGATGAGAGAGAAACACCAATCAGCTGTCTCCTGCACACCTCCTACTGGGGATGTACTCGCAACCAAGGTACAAGCCCTTGACTGGGATCGAACCTGGGACCTCTCAGTTCACAGGTCGCCACTCTGTCCACTGAGTCAAACCGGTTAGGGCCATAGCAATTATTTGAGTGCCTACTTTGTGCTACTCCTTGGGGTTAGGGAGATGGTTATGATGTAGTCCTTCACCTTAAAGAGCTCATAGTCTCATGGGAGTAGCAACACATTATTTTAAAATACCTTTCTGTTACAATAAATGTAGTAATAACTATTACAGAATATTATGGAATACCAGAGGTAATGAACTTAATTCTTTGTTTGAGGTTGGGTAAGAGGAAAAAGGGGATCAGGGAAGGCTTCCCAGAGGAGCTGATATCTTGAATAAATAGAAGTTTGCTAGATAGATAGTTGGAGGAGAGAATCTAATGGCATGAATCTTCTAACTTACCATATTATTAACTTATTTATTGTTTATATTTCCCAGTAGAATGTAAACTCTATTAGGGAGTTTTATCTGTGTCTCCCCCCCCCCCCCCAATATATTTCATGTACCTAGAACAATGCTTGGTACATAATAGGCCCTCTGTTAAATAAACTAAGTGAAATATAATAATCTAGGTGAGATAATGGTAGAGATGGTGAGAAGGTCAGATTCTGATATATTTTGAAGATGTGATAGGACTTGCTAAAATTAGATATGGGATGTGCTTGAAAGAGAAGGGTCAAGATCAGGGATATAGCTCTAAAGGTTTTGGCCTGAGCTACTAAAAAATGGGTTACCATTTGCTGTGACAGGGAAGACCATGAGAGGACCAGCTTTTGGTATTTGAATATTGCGATACCATATTTGGATATCAAGACTAAGATGTCTGGCCCTGCTGGTTTTCCTCAGTGATAAGAGTCAGCCTGTGGACTGAAGGGTCTCAGGTTTGATTCCATTTGAGGGCACCTTGATCCTTGGCCCTGATTGTGGTGTGTTTGGGAGGCAGCCAATCATTGCCTCTCTCACATCGATGTTTCTCTTTCTCTCTCTCCCCCTTCTCTCATCCACTCTCTGGAAAAACAAAAAGAAAAAGACTGAGATGTCTGTAAGGCATCAAGTAGAGACTAAGTCAGGTAGGCAGTTTGATAATCACTAGAGTTAATAGAGAGGCTTGGGCTGGAGATACACACTTGTGAGGCATTAGCATCTTGGTGGCTTTAAAAGCTATGGCACTAGCTAAGATACCAGGGGCGTGAGTGTAGATAGAAAGAAGTCCAAGGACAGAGCCCTGGACAAAACATAGAGGGGCCAGGGAGATGAGGAGGAGTCAATAAAAGAGACTGAGGGAGAGGCCAGAGAGTTAGGAAAACCAGGAGGATGTAGTGTCTTGGAAGCCAATGAAAGAGTGATTCATGGGCTCCCTCTTAAATTAAAAAGTGGCCAGTCATTTGAGTTGTTGTCTTTTTAAAAAAGATATGTTTAAAAAAAAATTTTTTTTTTATTGATTTAAGAGAGAGGAAGGTAGAGGGAGAGAGAGAGAAACATCAACGATGAGAGAATCATCAATCTGCTGCCTCCTGCACACCCCCTAATGGGGATTGAGTCTGTAATCTGGGCAGGTGCCCTGATGGGAAATCAAACTGTGATCTCCTGATTCATGGGTCCATGCTCAACCACTGAGCCACTCCAGCCGGGCTTGTTTGAGAACTGATAATTGATCATTGGATTTAGCAGTGTGGAGGTTATTGATGATTTTTTAAAAAAATGTATTTTATTGATTTTTCTTACAGAGAGGAGAGAGATAGAGAGCTAGAAACATTGATGAGAAACATCGACCAGCCGCCTCTTGCACACCCCCTACCAGGGATGTGCCCGCAGCCAACGCACATGCCCTTGACCGGAATCGAACCTGGGACCTTTCAGTCCGCAGACCAACGCTCTACCACTGAGCCAAACCGGTTTCGGCTGATGATTTTTTTTAATCGTTGCCTGAGAATATGTTTTTACTTATTCATTTTTTTTTTTTTTTGAGAGAAAGAGAGAGAGAGAAAGAGAGAGAGAGAGAAACATTGATGTGAGAGAGAAATATTGGTCCATTGCCTCCTGTACATGTGATTGGGATTGAACCCACAACCTGGGTATGTGCCCTGACCCAGAATCAAACCCATAGCCTTTTGGGGTGTGGGATGACACTTTAAGCAACTGAGCCACCTGGCCAAGGCTTTGTTGACCTTGAGAAGTTTTATAGAAAATAACATTTTTTAAAGTTGTCTTTTTATGAAATTTAAGTTAAAGCCTCTGGACAAATGTTAAGATTTCACTCTGATACTATTTTAGGTAGATATTTATTTTTAATTATTTTATTGTGTTTTAACATACAAAATGTTTAAAATGGGTCATTTAAAAATTGCTTATATAAAGTGACTTCTCCTATGCTTATATTGTGATTCAGAAATAAAGACCAAAAAGGTCAGTCAGTTTGCTGAAATTATGATCACTGATAGTTGTTTGGAGAGTGATTTTGGTTAGCATGCTTCTCAGGATGATCCTTATCCTTAGATGTAGGATAAGGTCCATAAGATAGAGTTTCAAGTTTATATTAAGGATGTATAATTAGGAATTTTAAAGAACTGATTTAATTTAACCCTTTATTAAATTTCTAGTACCATATCTTTAAAGGTTTTAAGGCAATAATTTTTTTAATGTAGTGGTTTAGAACTTAAGAGTCTTCCTATAAGTTCCATAACCTGGTAATTTCTCTTTTTCTATTATATTCCTTTGTCAGTTTCTAGAATTTATGTTGTCCTTAAAAGTTTCAAGGTAGTATCTGTTAAAAGTATAGTTTACATTGAGAATGCTTCATGAACAGTTCATTTAAAACATTTTAAGAAAGTGACTTTGAGAAATGCTAATAGTGTTTTAACCTGGATCTGTTTTTTTTTTTTTTTTTTTTTTTTAATGAAAATTGTTATTTATCTTCATGCTGTTTAGGAAGATTCTTACCTCTGAAGACAATGTTAGGACCAAGGTATGATAGTCAAGTTGCTGAAGAAAATCGGTTCTATCCCAGTATGCTCTCAAATTATCTAAAGAGTTTGAAGGTAAGAAAGAAAACATTTTTTTATACTGATTTAATATACTTTGTCTTTCTCTTGTTCTTCAGGTGGCTTTAAAAAAAACACCTTTATTTGAAACTGCAAAAATTGTACAGAGTTCTATGAACCCTTCTCCCATTTATTCCCATTGGTGACATCCTATGTAATAATTGTAGTAAAATATCAAAAGCAGGAAGTCAGCATTGATACAGAACTATTATCTGTACAAGGATGCGAATGGGAAGGGGGTCTGGAACAGTTCTGCTCCACCACCATGAATCAATACGTTGGATTAAACTGCAAAGAACAATACACAAATGAATGCATATAAAAACTGGTAAAAACTAAGTAAGATCTGCAACCTGCTCGGTGGTTCTGTACCAATGTCAGTTTCCTGCTTTTGATATTATACTACAATTATATAAGATGTCAAACTCCAAAAGTCACATATTGTTTTCCCTATTTTGATCATTTTGAGTATTTTATATAAATGGTATAAAACAGTATGTGATCTTTTGGGGTTGACTTTTTCACTAAATGTAATTCTCTTGTGTTCCATCCAAGTTGTTTCATGTATCAATAAAAAGTTTATTCCTTTTTATTGCTAAATCTATTCAGTTGTATGGATGTATCAGAATTTATTAAACCATTCTCCGGTTGAATAGTTAAATAATCTTTTAACCAATTTGAGTTGTCTCCAGTTGTAGGGTATTGTGAATAAAGCTGCCATGAACATTAATGTACAGGTGTTTGTGTGAACATAGTTTTCATTTTTAGGGGACAAATACCCAAGATTATTATTGTTGAGTGCATGTTGGATTTAAAAGAATGTGCTGAACTATTTTCCTAAATGAAATTGTAATTGTCTATGTTATTCTGACATAATACTGATTGTATCAACTGCAATTGAAAAATAAAAAATTACTTTAAAAAACAGACTTTTATTCTCTCACAGTTTTGGATGCTAGAAGTTCCAAATTTAAGTGTTGGCAAGGTTGATTCTTTGTGGAGGCTTGGAGGAAGATTCTTTTCTATGCTTTTCTCCTAGCTTCTAGAGATTGCCAGCAGTTGTTGGCATTTCTTGGCTTGCAGTTCCTTAAGTTGTCTTTGCTTCATTGTTGACATTCTTCCTGTATGTGTCTATGTCCACATTTTTCTTTTATAGGGACACCTTGATTCAGTATGACTTCATCTTGATTATATTTGCAAATCCTATATAATAAAAGGGTAATACCCAAATAGACCCTAAAGGTGGAATGACCAGTTACTTTGATGCTCACCGACCACCAGGGGGAAGATGCTCAATGCAGGAGCTGGCCCCTGGTGGTCAGTGTGTTTTCACAGGGGAGCTCCACTCAGCCGTAAGCCGGCTGACAGCTGCGAGTGTAGCAGTGGAGGTGGGAGCCTCTCCTGCCTCTGCAGTGCTAAGGATGTCCGGCTGTGGCTAAGCTGCCAGTTGGACATCTCCTGAGGGCTCCTGGACTACCAGAGGGATGTCTGACTGCCAGCTTAGGCCTGATTCCCCAGGGAGCAGGCCTAAATTAGCAGGTGGACATTCCCCGAGGGGTCCTGGATTGTGAGAGGGCTCAGGCTGGGTTGAGGAGACCCCCCGACCCCAGTACACGAACTTTTGTGTAATGGGCCTCTAGATTCCAAATAAGGTCATATACAAAGGTGGTTAAGATTTGAACATATCTTTTTAGAGGACATAATTCAACTCATTAATCTTTATAACTCTCTTGTTTTACATTCTTTATAGTCTGTTATTGTATGCTGTATATTAGTATGTTCAGTAAATATTAGTGTCGATTGTGTGCAAGACTCTTATCATGGGATACAAGAGTCATAATTTTTTTATTTTTATCTATCATCTATTTATCTCTATTTGTCTAGATATTTATCTATCTATTTTTAAATCTATTTGGTTAATCCTCCCCCAAGGATATGTAACCCAGGTACCTTCCCTAGACTGGGAATTGAAATTGTGACCCTTTGGTGCGTGGGCTGATGCTCTACCACTGAGCCATACCAGCCAGGGCAAGAAGCACCATTAAGATTTTGAAAACTTTTTACTAATTTTCTTGATGTAGTTTTGAGTCTTTATTTGTTTATATGTTTTATTTTAGCTTATAAACTTTAAATTTTTATTATTAATAATTGTACTGAAAGTCATAGTTAACATGTATAAAGCATTAACTATTTCCTAGGCAGTGAACTAAGAGCTTGGGCTTAGAAGCCAGCTTGGGTTTGAATTCTGGTTTGCCAATTACAGCTTTGTGGGCACGTTAGTAACATATTCATGTTTTAGTTTCCTCATTTGTAAATAAAATTAGTAAATAAAATAAGGCATGCAGCCTAATGCTTGGTACAGGACTTTATTTAAACCTTATAACTATGAGATAATACTATTAGCTTTAATCCTGGATTGGGATTACTTATTATGACAAATTCATATGCATATGTAAAATGTGTATGTGTATATGTTATATATTCAGATACATTCACATACAGACACATTATCCACATAGACATCCACACACATTCCTACATATATATGTGGCTTGACAATTAAGTCACACAATACACTTCCTCAGTTTTCTTGGCTAAAGTATTCCTATATATTTAGAAAATTTATTATTTTTTGCTCAGCCCACTTTATATTCACTTCTTATTTTGAACCTGGAGACAGACAACATGGATTTTAATTCTAACTCACTGAGAAGCTGTAATATGATGTCTAAGTCTTTGCATTTGGCAGTATACTAATATACATCCTATGAAAGAAGTAAGATCACTGTAGAAGCTATGTGGGAAGAGGAGAAAAGTAGGCCTAGTGGTGGCAAATTGCAGAAAATAACATAAAAAATACATTTCATATAAGAAAGAACTCACCTGATTGATAGATCTGTTTACACATAAGCTAAGGAATCTGGAAAAATCAGTAGAGCACATGACAACTAGTTATATTTTAGAAGCACACAATTGTGTCTATTTCATCATGTGTGAAATTGAAATGTTTTTGTTATTTCCCCCCTTAACAATAGAATTGGAATCGTTATGTAGCTCAGTTTCCGTAAGGCAAATCCAGCAGTAGGTATTGAATAAGTGAAATAATAACAAGAGAGAGAAAAATAACAATTTGGAAAATACAGGTTATTTTTCTCCAGAGAATTGTAGGCTTCAGAATGAGTTGGAAGATGTATAATTCACTTTTTTTCTTGGCTCAGTTCAGGTCTGCATTTCTTAGTGGGATTATCTTGCCAGGCTTAGTGCAACTACACCAGTTAGTGCTCAACAGAGAAAGTAATGATTTCTGTTTTAATGCAGAAAGAAAAACTGCCTGAGAGATTAAATTGTCAAAGAGATTAAAAAATATGGCCATGTGCTCTGTTTTTTTCCTGATTATTTAAAGGATTTACAAGGGACTTTCAGCCGTACACAGCTATTACCTTCTATACTCACTTTAGAATTTAACTGCCTCATGTGATGGTTTCTTGGAATGCTGGGCTGATGGCGCCTGGGGCTTGTTTGGGTTGGGTGTATTGCAGATAGATGCTATCCCTTGTACTACTCTTGTCTAGTAAATCATAGGTGGAGCAGCAGATGCTGGGAACGATATCAAGTGCTTGCTTTTTTAGGTAGACTTTTTGTGATATTGAAGTGGAGTGTGTTTTGCTTATGTTCATGTTCCATCATTAGTTTGGGGTTTAATTTATTTTATTTATTGCCTACTAAATTCTAGGCCCTGAATAAGACTTGGATAAGTGATGCGTATGTTGCTAATAGTTCATTGGCAGAGTGAGCATAAAACCTTGCCAATGTGTGGATAGATGAACTGGCATATTGCCATTTAGTCAACTTGTTTTGGAAAAAATTCAGTTACTAATAAACCTGTCCCCCTTTTTCCCCTTAATAAGGTTAAAATGGGCTTGCTGGTGGATTTGACAAATACTTCGAGGTTCTATGACAGAAACGACATAGAAAAAGAAGGAATCAAATATATAAAACTTCAGTGTAAAGGGTAAGTCATGTATTAAGTTTCTTTAATATTGAAACCTTTGGCTGAAATGTGTAATTTCTTTTAAAAACAAGAGTTTTCATTTTGCTAGACATGGTGAGTGCCCTACAACTGAGAATACCGAGACATTCATTCGTCTGTGTGAGCGGTTTAATGAAAGAAACCCACCTGAACTTATAGGTATGTTTGACTTGACTTTACCACTGTTGCATAGTTTACTTCTAGTTGGGTTTTAATTCTCGTTTTTGCAAGTGAGTTGATGTGAAGGTATGTTTTCCTTTTAAAGCAATCATCAATTATAGTAGAAGACTAAATTTTGCAGGCTATAAAATAATTGAATTTTTGTAGTTTTAATAATTTTCAAGATAAAGCCCTAATCAACCCTCTTCTGTACTACTGGGAAACTCTAAATACTATGTATTTATTTTTTTTATAATTGTGCATTTCATACCATATGTATTTTACTGAAATTTTTTTCCATTCAGTATCTGAGAGAGAACCATGCTGATATATATGTGTAACTGTTCATTTTTTCTGTTGTGTAGTATTCCATCATCTGGATATACTATAGCATATTCATTCTCCTGTTGATGGGCCTTTCTTTCAGCAAGTATTTATTGACTGCTACTCTTTGTTAGGTACAGGCTCTTGGAACATATCAGTGGAGAAAACAGAAAAAAAGCCCCTGCTCTTCTGAAACATATTCTAGGAGTGGAGATGGTGGGTTGGGGGAAGGCAGGCAATAAACAATAAATATAATAAATAAGTAAATGGCATTTGGATTATTTTCACCTTTTTTCTTTTATAAAATCCTATTATAAATAATGCTGCTAGGAGTGGTCTTCTAGAATTTTTAAGGTTTGATTTTGAGCCTTGATTTATTGTACTTTCTGGTATTTATATTGACATAAAGTTTGAATTGAGGATCCAATTTAAATATTTTTTATGTAACCAATCATTTGCTTCAACATAGCTTATTGAATATTTTTCTCCTGAAAACTAAAGGCCATAAATTAACTTCTTATTTGTACTATTGGAAAAAATTTTAAATTCGTTTGCCTTTTATTTTTTTGTAATTTTAAAAATTTTAAGTGACTAGTATTTTCTGCTTTTAGAGAATTGACAGAAAAACAGTAATAATAAGGAAGTTGAGGGGACATATAAGGTGTTCCTAAAATTTATACACAAATTGAATGATTATAAAGTCACTGTTTATTAACATACAGTTCATTTTCAAAATTTAAAAGAATCTACAGAAATAGATTATTTTTTTATTAATGTCTGTTTCCCCACTGATGGCTATTCTAATCCAAGCACTGCTGATAATGTGAAGCAATAGAATTGTAAACATTAAGAATTATTTTGTTCAGTATTTGTGTGCCTTCAATTTGTCAACGGTTGTCGGTTTTGAACCCTTAGAACTTAGATCCTAAACAATCTAAGTTGAAAGTTCATGCTCTAAACCACTTCTCTTGTCTGTAACAGAAGTATAAAACAAGGAATAAAGTTATTGAGAAATGTAAGATGTCTTTATGAACAAAATACACTTGAACATTAAAAGATTTGACGAAATGGCTGAAACCGGTTTGGCTCAGTGGATAGAGTGTTAGCCTGCGGACAGAAAGGTCCCAGGTTCAGTTCCGGTCAAGGGCATGTACCTTGGTTGTGGGCACATCCCCAGTAGGGGATGTGCAAGAGGCAGCTGATCGATGATTCTCTCTCATCGATGTTTCTAACTCTCTAGCCCTCTCTCTTCCTCTCTGTAAAAAATCAATTAAAAAAAATTTGATGAAATGAAGAAATTTAAATATTTTAGTATAATTCCAAGCAAAGACCAAATGAGACTTTGGAAGAATTACTATGAAGTTTGTATTTGTAAAATCCATTGCCTCCATTAAGTCAATAAATATTTATTGAGCATAGAAAAAGTTTGACAAATCAAACAGGCAAGATTATGAGTAAAAAGATTTTGGAAAACAAAAATAATGAGGGGATATTCCTTACCAGTTAATAAAGCATATGGTAAAGCAATAGAAACAACAGATATTTCCTGGTGGTAGAGGAGATCTCTTTCAAGTCAGAGAGGGAAGGGTAATTATTCAACAAATGGTATTGAGTCAGTCAACTATGTAATAAAATTTATTTTAGATGGATTAAATATCTTTTAAAAGATGTTTAAGAATATAGGAGAAAATAATATAGGTGAAAATAACAGTATTTACTTTATTCTGGCGTGAGGAAGGATATTCCCAGTATATCACTGAAGGCAGAATCCATGAAAAAGCCTCCCTCCCTCCCTCCCTACCTCCCTCCATCCCTCCATCCCTCCCTCCTTCCCTCCTTCCCTCCTTCCCTTCTTCCCTCCTTCCCTCCCTTCCTCCCTCCCTCCCTTCCTGTCTTCCTTCCGAGTTTGAGTCATATGCTGGGGAGCAGGATTTCAAATGCTCCCAATATTTCTTTTTAGAGTGTTCCTGACTACCTGCATCAGAATTGCCTGGGGTGGGGGGGTGGGAGGAGAAAGAAAAACGAATTGCTTGGATGTTCTTATTAGAAATGTATGTTTTAGAGCCCCATCCTGGACTTATATAATAAAAAATTATGGGAATGAAGATTTATAGTAAGGGTCTTAGATGATTTTTATGCACACTTAAATTTGAGAGCTGTTGTCAAAAGTTAAAATGTGGTGTTTGTGATAATAGTAACAGCTGCTACTAATGAATGCTTATTATTTGCTTGGCAGACATGGTGGGAAACAATGAATGAATGAAGGAATGTTGAACCTTTATAGCAACTCTGAGTAGTATATGGTGGTATCTCCATTTTATAGATAAGGAAACTGATTCTTAGAGAAGTTAAGTAGTTTGCCCTTGCCACATATCTGAGTGTTCTGACTTCAAAGTCCAAATTTCTAAGTAGTTGTTACACCGATTTTCAGATTAATCACATAAAAATGAAAAAAAAAATCTGTATTATAAAACACAATAGAAACAGCAAAAAGATATTTGACAATTTGAGAAAAACATTTGAAGCATAGTATGGGGACCCTATTCAGAGTATGCCAAATGCTTAAGGCCAATTGGAGTATAGAGGCCGTGATCAGAGTACACCAGATATTCAAGGCCACTCTGAGCATGGGAATCTTAATCAGAGTGTCCAAGGCCTATACACTAGTGCAAGAGCAAAGCCACAGTAATCTGTATATTCACTGCACAAGTGTGCCCTCTGTAACCCAAAAGACTCACTGACCTCACTACCTGGCAAGAAGCCTCTCGTGTAGGTAGTATAAAGTATGTTACTGACCCTCCAGCAGTGTGTGGCTGCTTGGTGAAGCTAGCTCCTATGTTAGGTGCTCCTTGTTAGCAATGGTTACATGGCCACTAGCTTCTACAGTAAAGACTCTCTCGTACACCCACAACATCTTATGGCTTCTCTGTCGAATACCCAGCGTTCAAGAAGGTCAGTTCCTTGCAGAGGGGCTCAGACCCAACATATATATCACAGATTTAAAAAAATGAATATTTTTACATATAAAGAAATTTTATAACCCAATAGGCAAGAGAGGTATTCCTCAATAGAATGATGTAGGAAACAAAGTATGATTTTTAATAGGTGAAATACAAGTAGTCAAGAAACATGAATTTTTTTTGTTCTCACTTGTTAATAAAAAATAAAAATTAAAATATATGTTGTTACTGTTCCCCATCAATTTGGCAAAGTTCTAAAAGATTATAATAATTGGATAAAATGGGTGCACTCATATATTGTTAATTAGAGTGTTTATTAGCACATCCTCTCTGGTGGGACAATTGGATGATGTTTCTCAAGATCATTAAAAGTGTTTATGTACTCTGATTCATCAAGGCCACATCTAAGACTCTATTTTAAGGATTAGTCAGATATGAATACAAAGATTTATGAGAAAGGAATTTCATCACAGCTTTGTTTATAATAAAATTGGAAGCAGCTTACTTATCTCTTAAAAGCAGGTAATTTATGTTGTACAGTATGCATCTGTTATTCAACAGAAGAACAATAATATGACAACATATGGCATAGCATTATGATATATATGTTTACATAATTACACATTCACATGAATATGTGCAACAAGTACACATTCATGCACATATATTTAGGTATATGACTAGAAGATACGCATCCTAAAATAACACTGAGACCTTTATTTGAATGATTAGAAACAACTATTTTCTCATTTGAGAGCTACCATTATAGTAGTATATGCTGAATGTACTTGAAGAATTCAAAGGAGGGCAGTTAAGAAGTCTTAGGAATCGGATTGATGATTTCAGAATTAACTCATTTAGAAAAAGAAGTTAATCCTTACTATAAATTGCTTAGTTGTATTCTTCAGAGAACTGATAGGAAACATTTTTTTAAAAATAAATTTTTATTGTTCATATTATTACAAAAGTCCCCCCCCCCCACCATTGCTCTCCTCCACCAGGTTCCCACCCCACCCTCTGCCCTTTCCCCACTCCCCATTGTCCTCATCCATAGGTGCACAGTTTATGTTCAGTCTCTTCCCACATCCCCTTCTCCCCTTTTCCCCAAGAATCGTCAGTTCACTCCCCTTCCATACCTCTGATTCTATTATATTCAACAGTTAATATTGTTCATCAGATTTTTAAAAAAAATTTCCTTGGTTTTTTAGATTCACTTGTTGATAGTTATGTATTTGTTGTTCTTAATTTTTATCTTTATTTACTTTCTCTTCTGAAAGAACCCCCTTCAGCAATTCATATAATTCTGGTTTGGTGTTGATGAACTCCTTTAGCTTTTTTTTTTATTAGTGAAGCTCTTTATCTGGCCTTTGATTCTGAGTGATAGCTTTGCTGGATAGATTATCTTTGGTTGTAGGTTCTTACTATTCATCACCTTGAATATTTCTTGCCATTCCCGTCTGGCCTGCATGGTTTCTGTTGAGAAGTCAGCTGACAATCGTATAGGTGCTCCTTTATAGGTAACTACCTTCTTTGCTCTTGCTGCTTTTAATATTCTGTCTTTGTCTTTTGCTCTTGGAATTTTAATTATGATATGTCTTGGTGTGGTCCTCTTTGGATTCCTTTTGTTTGGAGTTCTGTGGCTTCCTGGACTTGTAAGTCTAATTCTTTCACCAGGTGGGGGAAGTTTTCTCTCACTATTTCTTTCAGTATGTTTTC